TAGCCTATCGCATATTTTTAGGTATATATACTAACTGGAGATATTACCTTATGCCTTATATTCGATAGGCCTATATAAAGTTTAATTGTGTTACCAACCCTATAAGGTTGAATAACAATGCATGCAAGCGTATTTGACGTTGCAAATGCAAAACAAATAAATGCAGTGAAGTACTGAATAACCATCGACATTTAACCACAACTCCAAGCGCAAGCTTCCACAGTCGAAAGCTTGTATTCAAATCCAACATTTTTAAATCTTTTCAACGTATTTTTAACGTATCAAGCCAAAGTCACTAGGCACAACATATATGTTTCATAATTATATATCAATACTGCATGGAAACGCCGAAAATGTTTAATCCTAGTCGGATAGAATTTCGCGGCGGCCTCATGTTTCATGCTGTTGTGTTTATAAATTTAAACTGATAACCTTTGCCCAATATACTCTGTAGCTGTACTCACATGGTAATTCTTATTCTCTACATTTACACTAAAAATACAAGTAGAAAAATAAAAACTTATCAAGAACGCAAAAATTAATGAAAAGAAGAATGATTACATATTTCAATATGCTAGCAGTCACTACTCACTAACTGCTCTGGCGATATGCCCGCACGAATCAATCACTTGCCCATTTGAATCCTCATGCTTTCGCGTCTATGACTATAACATCTTTAAAATTCAATATGCTAGCAGCCACTATTCCCTAACTGCTTTAGCAATATGCCCGCACGCGAAATCACTTGCCCATTTGATCCATCTGACAAATATTTTTCCAACGGAAAACACGGTGTCCAATGGATCTAATGGATCCATTGGACACTTTCGTTTGGCTATCTCAATGGCCTAGTATCTACATGACGTCCATGTGCTTGTCATTACGTCATTCAAATACATGGTAATTGACCAACTGAAAAAGCAAATGTCCGATGGAAATTCCATTTGTCCATTGGATCCAATGGACAAACAAAAATCCAATGGACATTTCCAGGTCCATTGGATCCATTGGATCCAATGGACACTTTCGTTTGGCTATCTCACTGGCCTAGTATCTACATGACGTCCATGTGCTTGTCATTACGTCACTCAATACGTGGTAATTGACCAACTGAGAAAGCAAATGTCCGATGGAAATTTCACTTGTCCATTGGATCCAATGGACAAACAAAATTCCAATGGACATTTCCAGGTCCATTGGATCCATTGGATCCAATGGACACTTTCGTCTGGCTATCTCACTGGCCTAGTATCTACATGATAATAATGATCACGGACGGAGTACCACAGGGTTCTATCCTTGGTCCTCTATTGTTTCTCGTTTTTATAAACGATTTGCCTCTACATATCAACACCCAAGTAGATTTATTCGCTGATGACACTACCTTACTCGCTGCCACTGATTATAATGATATTAATGAACTTAATGAGAAATTATCTCTGGAAGTCTCTAACGTTCAAAACTGGGCCATTACCAATAAACTGCCTCTCAATACCACTAAGACCAAAACCATTCTGATTTCTGGTAAACGTCTTAAAGCTAAGCTTACTCCTGAAAATCAAACTCTCGATATTAAATTGAACGATGGTTCATTAGAACAAGCGCAAACTGTGAAATTACTGGGCTTTAATATTGATGAAGATTTAAACTTTGACACTCATGTTGATATAATGGCAATGAAACTATCGAAACGTATTGGAATATTGAAGTCTATAAAATCCTACCTGCCTCGAAACGAACGTATTCTTTTCTACAATGCTATGATCAAACCTCTATTTCTCTATTGTAGTATAACCTGGACAAACTGTAGTAAGAACAATATCACTAAACTTTTCAAACTTCAAAAACGCTGTGCCAGAATTATCCTTGACGCTGAACCTCGCCATTCCTCGATTAATCTATTTAATAATCTTGGTTGGTTACCCTTTTACGTAGAGTCGGATATCAGAAAATGTATTATGATCTACAAGCGTACACTGTAAAAACAGATTGGTCGAAATGACCAAAAAAAATTGGTCACCTGGATGCATCTGAGAGAACCAATTAAAAATGGTCGTTTTAACCAATAAAATTAACCATTAATTAATTGGTCATTTCAACCAATAATAATTGGTTAATATAACCAAATATTTTTGGTTGTTTTGACCAATTAATAAAATGGATAATTTTATTGGTTAAAACGACCATTTTTAATTGGTTCTCTCAGATGCATCCAGGTGACCAATTTTTTTTGGTCATTTCGACCAATTTTTTTTGGTCATTTCGACCAATTTAATGTCACAACCTATACACTAAATTAAAATGAAGAAAATTTGTGAGTCTTACATCACTGAACATGTATACATGGAATTTAATAAAAAATCTATCAATACAATATAATAAGACAATTAAATAAACTAGAGCTACCGGTACCTTAGAACTATGTGAGAGCAATTGCAAAGGAATACAATTACAACTGCTGTGCTGAGTGGTTATATTACTACCTGAAAAACAACAAGCAGAAACTCAACATTTCGAGCGAAGGGTCTTTGCTCAAACGTTGAGTTTCTGGGGTTTTTTTTTCAGGTAGTAATATAACCACTCAGCACAGCAATTTCACATTGGTACTATCCACACTGGTACTGGTACAGACAGTTTTAATACAATTACAAGCCTGCCAGCATGAATTGAACCTGCAGCCCTGCAATTCTACTGCAGCCCTCTGACTTAAAGAGTCCTTTTGCCAAGATGTAACCATAACTTTCTGTATAATTATACCATGATGGTGGTGTCACTGGTAGTATATTAAATAAACTGGGATGACACTAGTATTGTATAAATGAACTCTTGGTTAGCTTGATGGATTCTTGGCGCTTGGACTCTCAGGGCTTGATGGACTCTCGGCTGTTAAGGAACTGTTCAGAATCACAGAGCAACAGGTTCCATTCCCGGCACAGTACTTATTACATAGTTATTGTTCAAAATTTCCATCTACAGAAATTTGGCTTTAACCCATTGAGTGGCAACACTCTCTCCTGCATGAGTAAAATTGTCTGGCATTAGACAGAAAAAATAATAAGGTAGAGCCCACTGCCACATAAAAGGTTAACATTCTCTTCAATGTAGAATATTTACAGGTTAGTATAATATACCTGTACTGCATGTAGTATTGTCACTGCTCAATCAAGCATGTCATACAAGTCCATTGGTTAAAATTTAAAAGTACAAGCTTCATACCACAAGTCAGCAACTCCATTCCTTGTCAGGTTTGTTAATCCATAAACATACTCTCCAGCAAAAGAATAACATTTTCCAAATAGGACTATGCAGTACTTAAAATGCCATTAATGATTATATATATTGCCACTTGTTTAGACAACTTGCCTTCTGCTGGGAAGCTTTTATTAATAACTTTTCATTCAGGATCAGGATATATAATGAATCCATATTAAATACAATCTCTATTAAAAAAAAAATATACATATTAAGGTTGATATATAATGGTAGCAAATTATTGATTGATTGACAATAAACTTCCTATTTTTGGTTAGTGTACAAAGCAAGAAATACAAAATTCAAATGCTTTCACTTGACATGTTTAATGTAAGGCTAGCATGCAATTGAAGTAACATCTGCATCCAAATATCCAATACAACTATTCTCACTGGTAAAAGACTGTTTAAAATACTGGTGCATAACTTGTAACTGTTTTTTCCAAAATTCCTAATTGAAAAATATCATTCTATATAATCCAGCAAGGTAGATTTAGTGGCTGTTTATATGAGGTGATGGCACCTGTGTACCTGAGCTGGCCCAGTTTTGGTGACATCCAGACTTTGTTATTATATTCTATATATTTCAACTTGTGTTTTACTTTATAATATAGAACTGAGCTGGACTTTTTTAGGAAGATGGGGGGCTTCGGTGGCAAAGCTGTTATATGCACTTGCCATTCACCTCTAAGGCTGCAGGTTCAAGCCTCAGTGAGAACTTTCTCAATGCGACTCAAACCCAGTCCTCATGTGAAGAGTAAAAGTCAACACTCTGTCGAAAGTCATGGGTTTTCTCCAGGTACCCCGGTTTCCTCCTACAGGGAAATTTGACAGGGTGGGTGATGTAAAAGAGCCAACAGTAATTGGCACATGCTGTTGTGGTGACACCTAGTTGGCAAAGCTAAATAAATAAACTTAAGATACTGCCACAATTGACCCAAAATGTTGCTAATGCCAAACTAAGATTTTCCATATAAACTATATACAATGACCCAGGATTTGGCACAATATTCATGCTTTGTTTAGGCATAATGTAATCTTCTAAATGACATTTCCCAATCAATTTGAATATTAACCCATTAAGCCGTAGAGTTGGAGTTCCCCATTGACGAGTAAAATCATTTGGCCAGAGGTGTAACTTAACACTTGCCTGGGGCAAGTGAATATCATGATGGGCAAGTAAACACTTTATCTTGCTGCCCGATTGGGCAAGTTGCCTTGCCACTATTCATTGTCAGATATATTTTGTTTTATAGTGCATGGACTTGGTTCAAATTTCGTTTTTTGTGCACCAAAGCTATATCTGAGGCAGTATAACATAGCCATATAGCGCAGTGGGAGAACAGGTTGACATGTTGTCCCCTTAATTTATACCCCCTACCTAGGTACCCCAAGCAGCCATTGTCTGATGGCAAGTGAATTTTATTCACAGCAACTAATCTTTATGACCAACTTGCCCTGAGGGCAATACATCACTGCTGGCGGTAGACAAGTAAATAAAATAAGTCGGTCACACTAGGGCACATTGCGGCTCAATGGGTTAACTAGAGACATTGTCAGATTTTTTGGTTAACCCATTAAGCTGCAGAGCTTCCCTACTGAGGAGTAAAAGCGTCTGGCATTAAGCAAACAAAAAAAATAAGTAGGGCATACTGGGGCACATTGTGGCTCAATGGATTAAAAGATCTCTGTGATTTTTTTTGTAAGTTACATTTCAAAACTGTCTGCAAAAATATGTCAGCTTATTTTATTGGAAATTATACAACTCAGTCTGGGTGATTTGTTTTGGCAAGCATGTTCATCTAAAGAGGCTCATGTAAACAGACATTCATCAAGTGAAAGCGGGCTATAACCGGGTTAGTTACCTGGACTGGCTTGCCTTTATATAAGCGGCCCCTTGCACATGTTTTAGCTGAGTGGCTGACTGATAGAGCCATACATTGGGAAAGGCTGTCTACATGCTATTAATGTGAATATATACTAAAACTGTCTTTACCAGTGTGGGTAGTACCAATGTAAAAATACTACCTTAAAAAACAACTCGAGTCGACGTTTCGAAATTTATGAAGGCCCTTCGTCAATAGTGTAATTATGCATATTTCAAACAAATCACATTATTATAAAAGTATACATGTCAAGTGTCAACATAGCAAATACTTAACAGAACAACACATATGTATATCACAGAAATAATCCGTATATTATTTTCTTAACAATACGGATAAGTAGAGACTGTTATGTAAATCGAAATTTACATCTGAACGTTTAGATGCCTTCGTAAAATCGGCACAAATCGACTATAAAATACAGGCCTTCGATTTAAAAATACAACTACACAGTCTGTCAAGTAACTATCCGCATACAAATAAGTAAATACACAAGAGACATACCTTTGAAAACAATCTCCTTGTGTTCTATTAAGTCTTTCGATCTTTATAAGCAGAAAATTTGAATATAAATCTTTCCTGTTTGAATGTTTGCTCCCAAAAGATTGAAGTTAGCGCGCTGGTGTGAAAAGATTGAATTACTATAACACGTGATATGTTCTAAGCATGGTAATTGGTTGGAACTTTGGAACTTCCACTTGGCGTAAATTATATTCAGCAGAATTCAGCAGCAGGACATTCCACAAGTTCAAATTAATTGGACGAGACAGTAAATTAATTGGACGAGAAAAACTCGATCGTCGCGCGCGATTGAACAATAAGAAGCCGATACTGGTAATATTAAAAGCAATCTGACTTGGCAACATTTACGAAAAAGCGCGTCAACCAGCTAGATCTTGTGTCTTTGTCGGATGATTTTACACGAACTGCAGGCTTTCACTATACGAATTTGTATAGCAAATATCGCCATAATTCAAGGTTGAAGAAACTTCAATATAGTTTCGGCCATTCCTATGGATTCCTATGTGTAATGGTCGAGTTATATTACACAGGCCGAGTAAAAACTAGGCGGAATATTACTCGATATTTTTACTCCTACTATACGATTAATTGTGAAGTAAAGAATATGAAGTAATTCCGTTATTCTGTTTGTGAGTACTGAATTTACTCCATTATATTTTACTCCTTTAAGCGAAGTTAAATTGACCCTGAGTGGAGTATATGTTCGAATGCATATATCGAAGACGTAGGCCGAGTAAATTTAACTTCAAAATTTTCACTCCCAATTTTTGATCACTCAGTGGAGTTGAAATAACTCCTTGAAATTAACAGTGAACACTCAACTAAATGACCAATAAAAAGTTGGTTATAATAACTTATATAAATTGGTTGAAAGATGACCAATTTTTTCGACCAATTTGTAATAGTCAAAGGAACCAAATTTAATTGGTCAAATGCGACAAACTAATTAAACAATTGGTCAAAATGACCAATTGCCAATGGTTGCAACCTAAAAAATTGGTCATTTTAACCAATCAGTTTTTACAGTGTACTATTAATGCTACTCCGGAGTACTTAAACAGACTATTAAATTTAAATAGCCAACAACATTCGAGGAACACTCGCAGTGCTGATTTAAGTTTAGTAACTCCGAAATACAATAGAGCTACTGAAGCAGGAAGAACTTTTTCTATAACCGCTATAGGCCTCTGGAACAGTCTACCTTTAAGTTTCCGTTCTGCTAGCTCCATTAACTGTTTTAAATACTTATTATATA